AGAAGAAGAAGAAGAAGAAGAAGAAGAAGAAGAAGAAGAAGAATGGCTTGTCGACTGGCAGTTCTCAAACTCTGATCGATTACTCAAATTTAGTTAAAAATAAGGTTTGTGTTGAGTAATGAAGGTATACAGAAGCATACTGAGAATATTATGGGCTGAATACGTGACCAACGACGATGTTTTAGTGAAAATGGAAACAAATAGTACCTTTATACCTAGCATAAGAAAGAGACTCGTAATAAGGAAAGAGGGCATGGAAAATGTGACACTCACCTGATATATGGAAGGCAAGAGGGACAAAGAAAAACGGCGCATGATCTCTCTAACGAACTTGTGTAAATGGTTGGAAGGACTGGGAGTAGGAGAGATAGCAATAAGACAAACTATACTGAGGGCTACAAATGACAGGAAATTGTGAAGAATCGTGTTCGCCCACGTCCTGAAGAGACACGGCATATAGAAGAAGAAGAAGTGAATTGGAGACACATCAATGAGTGTCTCTAAGTTGTAGCCTTGTAACAAAACTAAAATACACTTCTTAATAAATGACAGTACTAGATTTAAACAGATTTGTTGTCACGAATGTCACCACGACTGGATAATGATCCAAATGATACCTGCGTGAATAAACAAAATAAAATAGTGAAAGTTAACAACATTTCCAGTTAATTGTATTCATAGCCAAAATATTAACTCGTTTTTAATCTTTAACCTTTGGTAGAAGCCATAAATATTTATTCATAACACACTGTTCTTTTTAATCGACTACCAAACCTTTGACCACGGCACCATCACCACCCACCACCATCATATATTGATATCTTTGTCAAATAACAGCTTGTATAAAATGCGTCAGCCTTCATTCATATAACATTACTGAAGGAAATTTAAGCCAAGCTACCACAGAAATCAATCCGTTGCTTAAAAGTGACAGAACAAAAGAAAGGCTATTAAAAAATAGGGTAAGTCGCCATCTTTTTTTTTTTTTTTTTTTTTTTGACAGAATTGTAAACAATAACAAGAATATCTGTTTATTTATATTGGATCGCAGTTTACTAAGTTTACGTTTCTGCAAAATGCAGGTTGACTTTGGATGTGGATTTCAATCTAGAAATTCTAGAATGAAGTAACATTCTTCGTATTGTTTTAATGTTTATTTACTATTTTTTAAAAGATGGTTTTCATTCATTTAATTGTTTATTGCTCTTTTATTTCACTTTTAACACTGTGCAGAGGGGAGGATCATATTAGTATTTTGTCGAACTTTTCTTTTGATTCAGTCATTATTTGAATTACTGAGTTCACTCATTAATACTTTAATTTATAATACAATCATTCACTATCGTTTTTTGGCAATAAGAAAAACTTCACTGTAATTTCTTTAGGTGTGTGTTTAATGCTTAATTCAGAAAGAAAGAATTTTGTATATAGGCTGTGTTAGGCCTATGTAAATAATGCGAGACAAAGACTTAGAAAAAAAAAAACACTCTGACCATTAAAGACGCGCTTTTGTGAGACTATTCCGTTGAGGTTTCGTAACTATAGCTCGATGACCATTGACTTTTGGAATATTGTGTTGAATCAGTCTCAACTGAATTTTTAATAGTACACGCGGGACCAGGATTTGTCAAAATACGTGATTGTTTACAATATCAACTTCATGTGAGTTCAGACATCAGCTCGACGCAAAAAAAAAACTTTGATAAAAATCTTAAGACCTGTGTTAAACGTTGTTTACACAAATATGAAAATCGTTTTCCTGAATTGATTTTTACTGTCATATGGCAGATTGGATAAAAGCGTTAGTTAGATCCAGTGACAGGACCCAAAAGAGTTTGAGTTCAATACCTGATTAAGGCAGTGGAGAACTTGGAGAGGGAATTAAGCAGATAACTGATAACTGACATCCATTAGACATGGCACGTGGAACTAGAACAGCCTACTCCAGTAAGCGAAATAAACCATCCACCTGAAGAAGGCCGGAGCGTACAACATCCCAACCACCTGAAGAAGGCCGGAGCGTACAACGGCCGAAACGTTGTAATAAATATGGCGACAAAGATGAGAACAATAGTCCGAATAATGTAAATAGTGTAAACTAGCCATTATTACACGACGAATCATCTTTAACTTAGTTTGACATGATGCACTTCGTGATATCGAACCCACTACATTTAGTTTGACTCACAAATAATTTGTTTTTGAGAACCAATTTTAAATGCTAAATGTATGATCCCAACCACTAATCATACGTAGTAATTAAGAATAATTTGGATTACACTAACATACATGGCAGTAGCAGCGTACACAGTGGATTAAATGTTGTTCTCCTCTATGAAAATGTAAGGCCTCATACAAGAATAGGACGGAAGAAAAAATTTGGATCTCTGTTGGTCTGTTCCACACCCCACTCACCATATTCTTCCGACCTTGCAACAACCGATTTATTACCTGTTTTCGATCGCTGCAAAACGTTTTGTTTGGGAAAACTTTGTCTGATGAAAAATCAGCTTCAAGACTTCGTTAAGAGATTTTTCACATCAAAACCTGCTGAATTTTACTTAAAATGTATTCAAAAGTGGCCTGATAAGTGGCAACAAGTTACGGTGAATTTATAATTGTCAATGCACTTTATTTTTTTAAGAATAAACTTTATAAACAAAAAACGGAAATTACTTATGACTCAACCTACTAGTAATCCTTCGCTAAATTAGCTTGTTAACCATTACCTTATAAAAACAGGTACTTATAGATATTTACTAAGCGAAGATGGTAGAGGATCATAAGAATTGTGTTACAGGGCAGTCAGTGTAGATAAAACTCCCTAAATTAGTAATATTTCAAGAAACTAGCTCGTTAAGCATCACTCAACTGCAGACATCATGATGGGACATAAATTCTTAGATATTTATTAGGTTGTTATTTATTATTCTGTTATGGGTCCATATAAACGTAGGAAGATTGTATTACGCTAATTTTCGAATTTAGCAGGTATTTCTGATTCAGAAATTAGTAATTGGTTGTTTTTAACGTGCTAGTGTTTTGACAGTGGCGAAGAGTGATTTTGAAACTGGAGAATGTAGTTTGCCATAACCGTTAATAATAATAATAATAATAATAATAATAATAATAATAATGATAATAATGAGATATTTAAAACTTTTATTTATAAATGAATTCTGAGATCCTTCTGGGAAAATCTATCGATCACTTTGTCGTAGAAAGTATTAACAGTACGCTCTGCCTTTTATAATCTTTAAAAGGTCTTTAGTCATGTAAATAAAAATCAAATTACAAAACCTATCAGCAAAGGGACAGAACAGGAAGAAGCAAGAAGTTTTTTTGTTTTTCTACTTCCTTTTTTCCGCTCACATAACTCGTCAACCATCTTTCACTCGTCGTTCTTTCACGTCCTCTGTGTTTGTGCATAGAACTGGTGCTAGAGCAGTATACGAAAGCAGGGCACTTTTCTGCTTATACTACTAATATCGCTTGTTCACAATTCCTTCTAAGGACTGAAGGAATAGGAAACATTAGAAGGATAGTAAAAAAACATTATTAATAATTTTGGTTTTTACACAAAATTACTTGTCCCAAAATAAATAACTGGGTGGTAGAACCTATTAGGGTGCCAGATATGGGCAAATAGTTAACCCCCAAACTGGGGTCAAAACACTATGAAAATGTAAAAATAATTTTTTATCGTGAAAATACCAGTAAAACATTTGACTCTTGACAAAAACCCTCTTTACAAAAATACGTCAATGAAACCTGATCTACAAACAATACAATTACTTACAAAGAATACATATTATATTCATACGAACCTATCCTAAAAATCTTGTCAGCATTAAATGAACCATTGAAGTTAATATACCGTAAAACCAAATAAACTAAATCAAAATAAAAAAAACTATCTCAGGCGTTTGAATACATGGACCCTTTGCCATTTTTTGTAGACTATTAACCCTTTGCCAGTCCTGTGTATCGTATGTGATGCACAGGACAGTTTGAATAGTACACACGAAAATACTTTGAACAGGCAAAGGGTTAATATTGTGTGAAGAGTTTCTGTATCCCCGCCCCACAAATTGTGACTGTGTACCCATCTCAACTGAGCTTCATAAATAGTCGAGTTATAAACATACCCTTTTCCCAAATTCCTTTGAGACATATTACGATTAGTTGATTTAGTAGAGGAAACATTGTAGGTGAGACTCAATTATTTTTAGTATGTAACGCAAGTTTTCAAATGTTAACGTTATCAATATATACATATTCACTAAGCTTCCTACGAACAAAAGACTAGCCCCCACTTAGTCGACTTCAAATTATTCTCATCGGGACATCAACATTACAGCGTCTCTTCAATTTTTCAAAAGTTTTAAAAGTCCTCTTCCGGAATAGTCTTTGTCTCATTGCGTTCGTGAAATATATTTCAACTGTTTTTATTTACATTTATCTAGGCTTTGTTCATTGAATCATCTCCAAAGGCTTTAATCACTCAACTTACTACGAATGAATGTCCAAGTTTCAAGCAAAATGATGTATAATTGCTGTAAACGCAACCGTCACACAATGCACTATCTTACTCAATGACATCTGAATGTTGACTGAGTAACGCCAAGGGAGAATATTCAGACTTGTGCACTGATTTTCGTCTGATCACAGAAGCTAATTGTGTATTTGTATTCTACTCAAAATAAATAAAGAAGTATTGCCCAACTGTGGACCTAAAAAGTTTTTGATTGCTTAAATAAAAATATAAAAGGAACAGTAGCAAGTTTCCTTTACCCAGCTGAATTCCTTTCTGTTGTTGATATTGTTACTATAATAATTGTCTGCAGTTTTCTTTATTTCAATTGTTCATTCCATAAGGAAAAAGATCTTTTTTGTATATTTTCTTTCTTTGGGAAGAACCTTTAATCAAGATTTGTTGAGACATCTGAAAATTTCTTTCTTTGTTTTTGTTTTCTTAAAATTTTCTTTACAAATTATGTAGCCGAAAAGAAAATAAAAAAAAACCTGTAGAGAGGATTAGAGGAAATTTTGCGACAACATGACAATCACAAAGAAGATTAATTTATCCGAATAAAGCTTGAAATATTAATGACCCCCTTTTAAAGTTATAGACAATATACCAAGATTTACGAGAATGAACATTTAAAATCATCAGCAAACAGGCGATGGTTATTTTGCTTGAAAATATAACTGAAGATTTCGCTACAATTATCAGATCGCCTTTTTTTAAAAAAAAAACTTTAAGTTTAACTTGAAATGATTTCTAATTTACGGATGTATGCACAAATAAGAAATCATTTAAATTTAAATAGCCTGTCCTATATTATATTTGATAAATCTGGCAATATTAGCTGCAACATTCAGTCTCTAATTACAAGCCGAATTTCTCTGTGTTTGTATAATGTATATCTGTGCATGTCGGCAACCTTTTGTGCGTTAGGATGAAAGAAAGAGAGAAACGAAAATAAATTAAGCAAAGTATAAGTACTAAGCTAGGGACAAAGAAAAGATTTTTATGTTCTGTCTATCCGCTTAACTGCCAGTGAATTCTGGACAATTTCTTTATAGATCGATAGTCTCGAAGAAAGTAGAGATGTCATTCTATAGACATTCGCTGCGAATTCTATGAACTGAACATGGGAGAAACAAGAAAGTTTTAAAGGAAATGAACACTTACAGAACAAATTGAGGGAAGCGGCGAGTAATGTACGATTTTGTGCCAATGGACGGCAGAGCGGACGAAAAAAATAGATAGAGGAGTCAAACGTTGCTTACAGTTACAAGGGACCGGATGTTGTAGAGAGCTTTGACCGCTCATGTCCTGAGAGGATACAACAAATAAGACCACAGAGGCAAAATGGTAGGAGGAGAATCAGAGTTGAGGATGTGCCTACCTTGAGAATCAGCAGTCAAAATCTTCTTTACCTGTGATCGAACATTAACTCAGCCACTAAGTAATGAGGCAATACCTCATATTATTCGACTCTGTTTTTGATATAAACCAGTCAGGGACAAACTGTGGCTCGTGGGGCACATGTGGCTTGTTTGGCCTTCTGAATGTCACACTTAATTTAATGGGGGAAAATAACATTTATTAAAATGTGTTTTCTTTCATTCTCACTTGTTCACTTACATACTCTCTCATGTAAAGAGGTTAACAGAAGCTAGTGTCAACAGGAAATAACTATTAAATGCATGAGTGACCTCCCTTACTTATGAATGCCTGTTGTGACGAAACCACAGTTCGACTAAATCACATACATAACAATGTTTAAGTACGATGTTTCGTGAATTTTGCAACTTTTCGCAGAAGGTAACGTCCTCAGCATTTATAACGGAATATCATACGTGTAAAATATTTTGCTTTAGAAACGAGAAATATTCATACTGATTTTTTTTTTGTCTGGAGAAAAAATATATTTTTTCTTTTAAAAGGATAATTTTTTGTATTTTCAAATGAATAAATTAGAAGCAAATCAACCGTAGCACGATCATGTGATAATTACAATGTCATCAGTGTTATTATTATAAGAAGTCTTCAGTTTTTTAATTATAGAAAATCTTATCACAATGTCATCAGTATTATTATTATAAGAAGTCTTCAGTTTTTTAATTATAGGAAATCTTATAACAATGTCGTCACTGTTATTATTATAAGAAGTCTTCAGTTTTTTAATTATAGAAAATCTTATCACAATGTCATCAGTGTTATTATTATAAGAAGTCTTCAGTTTTTTAATTATAGAAAATCTTATCACAATGTCATCAGTGTTATTATTATAAGAAGTCTTCATTTTTGTAATTATAGGAAATTTTATAACAATGTCGTCACTGTTATTATTATAAGAAGTCTTCAGTTTTTTAATTATAGGAAATCTTATCACAATGTCATCAGTGTTATTATTATAAGAAGTCTTCATTTTTGTAATTATAGGAAATCTTATCACAATGTCATCAGTGTTATTATTATAAATTTTCAGTTTTTTAATTGTAGAAAAATATTTTCTCCTAATAAAAAATACCAACTTTTCCCCATTTCTAAGACATGATTACGCGTATGATCTATAGTGAAAATGTCCGCTTTGCTTTCAACGAAAAATTACTTAGAATTTTTGTTATTAGTGCGACTGGCCTTAATATGGGCCAAATCTCATGCGGCCCGCTGATCGGAAAATGTTGCCAATGACTGATTTACACTTATATTCTTGTGGAATGGTAGTAAACAAATTAGAAAGTAGTACGTACGTTCCTCACTGCTGTTACGCGATTTTTATTTAAATTTAAGCTTACTAAAATGCATTTGTAGGTTCCTCTCTAAAATAGGACAACTTAATATAATATACTAGTCTACATAATGACAAAAGCATTATAACATGAGGTTTGTTTAAAATTTCTCCATCCACCGATCAATTATCAGATGAAGAATAGTTTAACTTTTTATTTATATTAGTTCGTACAACTCTTTAGCAAGAAACAAAATATTTTTTATTTTTTATTTTTTTGCTAGGGACGGAGAAAGACGAAATGCAAATAAAATAAATGGGAACTTAAGAAGAAAAGTTTGGGAATCTTTCAAACAAGTACAAGTTACGGTGGGTTTATATTTTTAATTTCGCGCATGCGTGTTGTTGGTTTTTGATTTTGTTGACTCCACATTATAGTAGGTTCAGTTGGGTAATTCACTCCGCCAGAAATTTGGAAACGGCATGCTGTACTGCTTGGTATTCGCACCGGAAGCTCCAATACAAACATTTCAGAGTGTTTGGGTGTCAATCTGAGGATAGTGCAGAGGATTCGGAAAGAGTTGGATGAGTCTTATGGTGATTACAAAGGTGTTTGAAGTGATCACTAGTGATGGTGACATTATGCTTCCATTCACCTTCCCACAGGACCTTAGACTCATATCAAGTGGCTTGAGGAGGTAGTGTTGCCCTGGGTCAAGAACGTGACTGCTGGAGGACCCTATGTCTGACAACAGGACTCTGCGCCATGCCACACAGACAGGAGAACCTAGTCATAGCTGTCAAACAATTTCTGCGACCATATCACCCCTTACATCTGGCCACCTAACTTCCCAGACTGCAAACCCTTTTCATTATTATATGTGGGGCGCAGATGGTCGAGAGACCAATAAAACTCCTTGTAACACCTTGAAGGCAAGGATTATGGCAATATTCTCTAACTTAAACAAGGAGAGCGTCCAGAAGAGTTGCAGGAGATCCCAAAGGCATCTGGAAGCCATGGTTGAAGCCAATGGTGACTTTATTGAATAAGTTTACTATTTCGTATTTCAAGATATTTTGTGTAATTTTGGTAAAATATATCTGTTAAAATGAAATGTCACCGTTATTTTCATTTTTGCGTCATTTAGATGACAATTTATCCATCACACTCTGTAAATACAGAGAAAATAAACCTGAATAAAAATTGAATCCTAGTATCGTGAAAATAAATTCTGTTTAAAGTACAAAATTATTTTTTTTTAAATACGGAGGTCCTTTATCGATTTGCATTTTGTTGCGGTTTGGGCTCATTTCCTCTTTCTTTCTTTCTTTCTTCACATCATTTCTTCCTTCCTTTCTTCCTTCCTTCCTTCCTTCCTCTTTTCTTTCTTTCCTTCTTTCTTTCTTTACACCATTCCTTCCTTCCTTCCTCTTTTCTTTCTTTCTTTCCTTCTTTCTTTCTTTCTTTTAATAACATCGTGTGGCTCACTACATTGGTCGACCTTCCTCTTGTATCTGCTATATTTTTGGATACCGGACTTTGTTCCTAAGTGTGCGGATATGACCTTCGTCTAAAGCATGTCACAACCAATACTTTTCCTTCTGTGCTCAGACAATTGTCTCCTGACCTACATACTGACCCCGTGAACCTCGCCAACGTTCTTATTTTAGAGTCACGCTTTGGAAGCCCCGGATTCATCACTTTTTTGTTTTTCTTTTCTTTATTAATGTGCGGATGGTGTAATGGATAGCAGCTCGGAGAGCCAGGTTCGAATTCCAGCCCATTCACTTATGCGCAAATACCCTTGGAAAAGGTGTGAATCAATTTCTTCTCCCCTCAGCTATAGGTTAAATAGTAGGGTAGACTGGTCTCTTTAGCCGTGATTGGTAACCTAATAAAATGACCTAAATAAACCTAATAGAAGCACAACTCTGAATTCAAAACAGTTTGAGCATGTGGCTGACAACTCTATCCCGTAAAAACTTTCTACAGGTTATGGAAACCAATGACAGTCTTTGAAGCATGGGCTATTAATAGATTTCATATTAATTACAAGGTATGTAGAACATCTGTGTTCATAGCGTTCTGATTATTAATAAAATAATTAAAACACTTTATTTCCTGGTGAAGGGATTTTTAGCAGGATATGTGTAAAATTTCCGTCGAGACCAGGAAAACGATGGTTAGCGTTACACAGTTTGATGATTCGGTACTTTCTTACTATTGACAATCATTGGAGATGGCGACGTATTCGAGTATTTTCTGAAAACATTTGAAAGTGTTCTGTTCGCCAGAATTTTTACTATAATTAGATTTATTGAAAAATAAAAATTTTGTTTTAATCTTTAACTAACTTAAACACTTATTTAAAAATGGCTGTCGATGACAGAAAAGTACCACTCAATCTGTTCAATTGCACTGCAACTCGCACGTTTCCACCCCTCTGTCTCATACTGTAAGTGAGGTATTTCTGAGAGGTATTTCTGTCTCATACTGTAGCTGAAGTCTTACTACTATGTAGGAGGTATTTCTGAGAGGTATTTCTGTCTCATACTGTAGCTGAAGTCTTACTACTATGTAGGAGCTATTTCTGTTGCACCCTGTATTATGAAGAGCTAGATAGGTTTCATAAGAGTAAAGCGTTATTATGACTACGGAAGAAGTCAGCTTATGGATCAGGTCTTGTGATGGAAAAAAAAACAATGCTGTGTTTGAGTTGTCAAAGAAAATGCCGCGTTATTGAAAAAAATGGTAATCTTTAACTTTCATGCCCGCAAAAAAATGGTGTGTCAAAGGGACGTTTTTCCCCTTAACACCGCTATTATTTTGTACTACCTTCACTCCCTCGGCCATATTTATTTACAAGATTATAAAAATATCTGAACCAAGTAAAATGCTATATTTATTACCGTAATTCCCCATGTGTAATACGCATTTTTCCTAAAATATAATAATCAAAATTAGTGGTGCATATTATGCACAGTTACAAAAAAAATCTTTTAAAAAATCCCGTTACATGGGTCGATGTTAGTTGCGAAATGTGTACTCACCACAAACATACGACAACTTGGCACAAACATTCGGCGATTGCGACCCCATAAGGATGTCAAATACAATCATATATACCTAACAATACTTACAAAAGTAAAATAAAATAAGAATTATCATAAAACTAAATTAGAATAATATTATTCTACGCTAAAAACCATTTTTTATAAGAGTAAGAAACGCTGACCGTAATGAAATTGGAGAGGTACAATTTATTTTATTACCAAACAAGGGGTGCGTATTATGCGTGAGTAGAAGCATTTTCCCACACTTTCAACACAATTTTAGAGGTGCGTATTATGGATGGGGGCGCATTATACATAGGGTATTATGGTATTTACCTTTTATAAAGATTTACTTATCATTTTATAAAGAAATGAATGTAAAAAGAGTTCTTTTTATTAACAACAAATAGTATTTGAGAAAAATATGACAAACTAGAAAGTTTTTTTTTTTGTTTGTTTTTTTTGTGAATCGTTTGTCATATTTTTCTAAATAAATAACTGTGAAAACGAATTTTTTATTCATAATTTTATAAAAATACCAATGAATTTCAGCATGAAACAAATGCCCGGATAATGCATTTTTTCAAAATTTATAATTACAATTACTCGCAGACATTTTTTTTATAAATTCATGAATGAAAATTTATTTTCCTATTTATTTCTTTATAAATTGATATTGCATTGTATTAGTTGCTTCATATTTTAGGGTTCGCTGTTTTAGAATGTTGTCAGCATAAAATTATTCTTGTAAATAAACAATCCAATAAATAAATAACGTTTAATATTTTTGTTGTAAAGTCTCAAAGAAAATGTATAAATTCACTTTCATAATTTTGGGTTTTATTAAAATTCTAATCATCGCTTTTTAAAACAACAAACATTGCCGACGGAGTGAGGCTAGTTAAAATAATAGCGGTGTCAAGGAAAAAACTGTCCTTTAGACATGTCGTTTTATAGCAGACACAAAAGTTAAAGGTTGCCAAAAAAGTTTTTCTGTCTTTTTATATGTATGACAAAACCACCGTTAAATATAGACTGACTAATGTATATCACGTTCATGATCACCAGTTCCGTAACCCCTGAGGGTCGTAGGGGCATCACATGTACTGTAGCAGTCATGTGTTTTAAGCAAAATAAGCTGACGAAACCCAACTCTCTCAAGGTTGGATTGAATTCAGAGCTTTCCTTCTCCGAGACTGGTTTCAACCTGGGCTATAGGGCGTAGACTGTTGAACTGCTATTTACCCATAGCGGAGATGGATTCATATATTTCCCAGAAGTATTTGCGCGTAAGTGAATGTAACAGATACAAGTGGAATTCGAACTCGGTTCATCGATTTCCGAGCCGCTTCAAATTAAACCCCCGCGCATCCACAACTAATATAATGTCTTCGAAGTAAGTACGGTACAAATAAGTGGAAGATTTTGATTTTCGTCATAACAAATTTAGTATAGGAGATTAAGAAATTGAATAAGGGATAGAGTTCGCTAGGGATAGTTTCGCACAACACCACAAGATGCTACAAAACCAAAATATTAATCTGAGAACTCGTGTCCTGTTCTTAAATAGCCTGGCGAGTTCTAGGTATTGATATCGTCCATAACGTTCAAAAATGTCAAGCATATATAAGCTATTTTTAAGATCCATAATTAAAATGGCTTCAAGCTAATGACTCCTTCATCAGACAGTCGAGACTAGTGCTACAGCATTATAAAGAAACAGCTTAACAAATAACAAAACCACATCACTTGAAGACTTCCAACAGTAGCAACTAAACTGGATTGCACATGGATCTAGAAGGGAGAAGAATCACATAATGAAGATGATGTCTTTCTACACTTCCTTAAACAGGGGCTAGGAATGTAACTTTCATTACTACTAGAAGGATCGATAACAGTTAATGGACTTGAGAAGACTTTTTTCCAGAAAAAAAAACTATTAAGAAAAGGATTTTATGAATTTCAATCGACAGTAACACTAACTTTTTAATCAATAAATGCCAAAGTTTCCTGCGTAGAAACTATTAATTTCACCATTACCATTCTTCTTCTTTTATGTGCCGTATCCCTTCAGGACGTAGGCGATCATGGCCCTCCACCTTCTCTTGTCCCTTGCAACCATCAATGAGTTTTGTCTTTTTCTTATTTCTCCCAGACCCTGTTCTGTCATCCACTTGCTCAAACCCATTAAGTGTGTCACGCATTGTTTTCCCCTGTCCATCTTTCCCTCTATCCGTCCTGTGAGTATCAGATTCTCCAAGCCCTCCTTCTTCATTACGTGTCTCAGAAATTTTGACTGCCTCTTCCTGATGTTAAGTATAAGTTTCCTCTTTGTTTCCAGTCTCTCCAAAATCTCGTCGTTGCTCACATGTTCGGCCCATGATATCCTTAGCATCCTTCTGTAGAACATTTCTGTTGCGTCGAGTCTCTTTTTCATTTTTGAGGAGATTGTCCAGCATTCGCTGCCATACAGGAGGACATATATCACGTAAAAGTTCAGTACTCTTTTCTTTGTTTCCAACGAAACAGTCTCTTAATACTCTACTTAGCTTTTGGAATGCATCTTTGACCATACAAATATGTCTTCGGATCTCAGTGTCGCACTTCCGTCCTCTGTTAGAACACTTCCGACTTCATTTAAATTTCTGTACCTGCTTGATTTCAGTGTCCCCGACCTGTAAATTGCATTTTGGGCTCATCTTTTTGCTGATGATCATGCATTCTATCATCTTGTAGTTTATGTTTAGTCCCTTCTTCTAACTCTCCTTCTTACATTCTGTAGGAGGTTTTGTAGGGTTTTTTCGTGTCTGCTATCAGCACTGTGTCATCTGTATATCTTATACTTTTAAGATTGTGTCCGCCAATGATGAATCCTGGAACTGTCAATTATCTGACTGAATGAAGTTAAAATGAAAGGAAAGCCTTTCAACGTATCTATTATAAAAAGTGTATGCACCGACAGCACAAAGTACGGAAAAAGAAATCAAATATTTCTACTCCATGCTAGACAACACCAAGGTTCAGTACATTAATTAAATATACAACAGTGATGATATACCGGAAGACCTAAGCAAATCTATTTTCATAGCACTGCCTAAGAAACCAAGCGCAAACGAATGTGAACTCCACCGAACAATCAGCCTAATGAGCCACATAACAAAACTCATCAGCCGAATCCTGACGAATAGAACATGCAACAGAATCAGGCCAGAGATTGGGACAAGAACAGTGTGGATTTGTTAAAGACACCGGAACAAGAACCGCGATATTCGTGCTCAGAATGTTATCAGAAAGAGCAATACAAATGCAGAAGAACGTTCACGCGTGTTTTATAGACTACTAGCAGTAGAGCCCGGCGTTGCCCGGGGATGTAACAGTAAGAGATAGATCAAGTATCGACCATCATAAAGACGAAAAATAAAATTGACTAAGATTATTGTTTAAGGTTGACGGACACGCATGTCTTAATTATTTTTTTTTGTTTTTTTTTTACGAATTGGTCAAACTCAAACATAAACATTGTTTTCAATCGTTATGAGTCTACCGATTGAATAGAATTTTATTATAAACAATTGTCTTGTAAATGGAATTTTTAAAGCATTCTGAACGTAAAAATAAAGAAAAAAAAGTGTGCAAGAAATAAGAAACACTAACTGCCAAAAAAAAAAGTGAATTTTTGTTGAAATCGGTTGAAAAATGTAGGAAATCCGATCCCATATATAAACGAACACACACACACACAACCTGGGTTTTATAATAAGTATAACTCGATATGAATTTTCCCCCTTTCATTAATGCCCCTTAGTCGTGTTTTCAAGTTGATTTCATGCAAAAACAATTATGTTTTTCCAATTTTTGGCGCTGTCAGAACCACCGCCAGGTAATTTTATGTAGTCCTGTGAAGTTTTGTTGAAATCGGTTGAAAAATGTAGGAAATACGATCCCATATATAAACGTACACACACACACACACAGTTAGAGTTTCTCAGTAACCTTGACATATTCGGGAAAAAACATTAATCAAAAGTAAATCCTCCCCATAATTGTGACCTTGCGCCAAGCTAAGTTTCGTAAATATCAATGAAATCGGATAGTTTCTCAAATACTTTTAAACATTTTAAAAATTCTTCTGATATGTATATATAAAAATACACATATTTGAAATGAAAGAGGAGCATGCTATCACTCTCTGATATGTAATAGCATCACAGGACTATAATAATGTGTATACGTGTGTCCTATATTTTGTCAGTTGAGTATGATGACCTTTTTCACTTGGCAAGCAACAAAAAAATCCAAATATTAGTTCATCGAATAAAAATTTACATTCATACAGTTTTATTCCTCCATCGAGTGTATTATAATTGTATATGTAACGTTATGTGTGTTTATATTTATTTATACGTGTTTATATTTATTTATACGTGTTTATATGTATAGTCGGTTGTATACATAACGAGTCTATATATTTCTGAAGGCAGCGTTTTTTGAAACAGTTGACTAACAACATATATGCTACAAGTTGTTCTTTTTTTTGTTGTTGCTATTTTGCTTCTTTTTTTAATTTTTTTTTCTTAATCCTTTTAATCGCATTTAATCTACCGTCGTCGTATGTTATGGAAACTAATGATTTTTCTTTTTTTCCATTTGTTAGGTAAGAATATTTATTTTATTTTCTAGCTGACTTTGTTCTTTACCTGTCTTCAAAGAAAGTACAATTGTTATTCATGGATTGTTTTATCGTATTTTTATTCACTTGAATTATTCTTTTTTTTCCCATTTCATTTTTACAACACACGTAAAATGAAGATAGGTTTTAATTAGCTTTGTTAAATAATGTTAGCATTGAATTGAGTCGATTTGTTTACTCCGATAATATGAGAGAATGTCATTAATTTTGTAACTAAAAATACGATTTCTAAAACGATACAGAAGTATTGAATAGAAAAATTCAATGTCTTTTTATTGTACCACTAACCTTTCTAATTGTAACAAATCTTTTCTTATTATATACAAAAAAAAGCTTATATATTTTGATTGTAAATTTAGTTAATTACGAATAATCTCAATATTCAATTGAAATTGATCGCTTGAGAAATGTGAAATCTAGTGTTTCACGAAGCCGATAATATACCGAATTAGAAAAATTGTATCAGTTTTTAGACTGATATTAAATATCTAATCACTGATTAATTAGGAACATTTTTTTATATCAATACAATTTCTTCTGATACTTTTTACAACGAGTTTATGCTGACTTCCCCTTCCTTCAATAAAAGTACACAAATAAAATACATAGCCATTCGTTTTTCATGCTCTACATGATCAAACCCAAGGACAGTACATATTTGGGACCTTCTAACCATATCACACCAGAATTTCTTTGTGCTGGTTTTTCGTATTGTGTCAGAGAATCAGAAAAAGATTCAAGACAGTTCGTAGATGCGGATTAGGGCAATGATAGCAATGATTCTTCTAGAACAGCTGGTGATATATTTTGCCGATGATGCTCACATAAAAATATCCCAGTCTGTAAGTGTTTAAGAATAGAATAATGAATAATTCTTGTATTTTAATAAGACAACAAAAGATCATTTGCAGATTCGAAGCGGTATCTTTGATGTTTACAAACTTATAAGCAATCGTTATTTAAATTTTAAAAGGAACTTTTTTTTTGTCCGGATATATAAATCTTTAAAACATAAAGGTTTCAGATTTTTACTTGGCAAAATTTTTTTTTTTTTTAAGGGAGCCTTGGCCGAGTTGAGTTGGTTTTTATCAATTTAACCAGTTTAAGACGACTTCTACTACTTCTAAATAATAAACGAATTAACGTGACTAACTGGGTATGGAATGTGTAGTTGTATGACAATAGACTTAACTTTGTAAAATCTTGTTGATCAAATCGATGAAGACATGAACCCAGAGAAATGAGTTCAAATCATGGAAGTAGATATGTCATTCTCGATTTTCGCTTGTTGTTTTAAAGGTTGCATAATCTATCGACCTTGAGTGGTATGATAAGTATCACTAAAGATAAAAGGATATAAAAAAATGGATAACGAAAATAAATTATCTATAAATTGAGATAATTTGACTAATTTTTGGTATTTTCCGGCGCACTCTGGAACTGCTTTGTTTAACTTTTTTTTTCTTGTTTAGTATAGAATGATGATGACAGACACGGAAAGCGAACCAAATTTAAACTCCTGGTCTTTTGCCAATACGCCCGAGTCCCTGACAGATGAGAACAGTCCCTCTCAGCCGAAGGACTCTGACCAATGTTTATACAACGTGGATGATAACGAGCCACTGCAAAACGCCGTGGAGAAATTCAAAGAGACGGGAGATATGATTCACATTGTCAAACAGGAATTGCGTTGGCACTTGCTGTACAAACGTAGCAAGGAAGGAAAAGAAGAGATCAACACTGAAGAAAACACACCGAAACATTACAAGGTCAGTTAAAACGTTTATTTAAAATGGGGGCCCTTTTACCTTTCAAAAACCTCGATCGTCTTTTTTTAAGCTAAAACATCTATCGTGACCAGACATTAAATTTCGTATCGATTTTTTTCTTGTACTTAACCGTTTCAATCTGGTCTTATCTTTTAATTTATATCCCCTGCCTTCTGTTTATAAGATACGAGGTGATACCCAAGATTTCGAACAGTTTGAATTAAATGCCGTTTGTTGTAACTCTTTCTGAGATTATTGTTTACTTGCTCAAGAGGTTTTCATCGAAGGAGACGGTGACAATTTAAATGTTAAGTAGGTCATAGGTTCCCCAAAATCAAAATAAAATCCTCGTACTTATTGAATAGTACCGAGTGTGTGATTTTTATATATCAATATTTAGAATTATGTCACTCGGTCTTTGAATTTCATTTAATTTCTTTCTTTTGTTTATAATCATGACTGAAGTCAGTCAAAAGTTGACAATCTTCAGACCTACTACGAACTGTTATAGTGGCTTATTAGTTATAGTGAAGTGTATGAGTGTTGAAACAGATTAGTTTGATTTGACCTTGTTAGTTAGATAGCCCACCATAAGAGGGGTATAAAACAAGAAAATCAAATTGTAAAGTGAAACAACAAATTTATATACATATAAATTAATTAAGGTCTTTACAAATAAAATTAATGTATTTTGGTTGATACAAGGTCGTCAAAATGTTTGTAGTAGTCCTTGCAAGAATGAGTTTATGTGTACGTAGGCAGGAACGTATGTGTGGATGTATGTATTTATAAGCGTTATCGAAGTGTAGGAATATCTTTGAAGTAATCGCTCAGTCTTAAAATGTTCCGTTTCTTTATCAAGTATAAAAGAGGTGAGGGAGAAAGGTAGAGATAATAATAACGCTTGCTTGACGTTGTCAAGGGACTTTTTGATACGATCGTCTCCCCCCCCCTCTCTCTCTCTTCTAGTGACGAGCGAACTTGCCCGTCTTTTATTTTGTTTGTGAGGCTTGAAAAGGTCATTTGGGAATTAACATCCGGATATGATTTGGGCCTGTCCATCGGACGACGAGCAAATTTCACGTCGGCTCGCGAAAAGGTCCATAAAAGAATTTATTTCTGAGAATTGAGGATTATTTGAATTTTGATTTTAAATGTTTCCTAGTTTTCTATTGGCCAAAAAATATTTCGCATCAAGGTGTGAAATTTCCCGACTTTTGTTTTGGATTCGCTTTTGCGTGTGTGTTAAGCAAAGTTTGTAAATTCGAGTCTTTTTAATTTCTAACAAAATCAATGAGTCACTGCTTAGCATTTGAATTTTTAAATCTAGATCTTGTTTTGTTCACTAGACTGTGAACATTTTTGTTACATCGTCTATTTCAATATACGGACGGAAACTAATCCGCCAGCAACAACAACAAAATTATTTAAAATATAATACACTTAAACTGTTTATTGTTTCAAACTATGTATCGTATATACTCGCGTATCATGTGACCTTTGAAGACCTAATTTTGAAGCTAATTTGACTACAATAAATTGATATATAGTTTGATCAACGGCGTAGCCAGGGCCAACAGTACATACACTAAATTGTATATTTCATGTACGATGAGATCCCCTTAAAAGTAGCTTCAAAATTAGGTCTTCAAAAGTCGCATGATACGCGAGGATATACTGTACCGCCACTTTTTCGTTAAAAAAACAGCATAGCATGATGAAAAAAAAAAAAACGCCCAAAACTTAATAAAAGCAAAGTTTTCTCGGCAAAATGTTTATGTTATTAAGAGGAAAGAACAAAGTATTATTTGATTAAATTTTTTTTTAACCATTTCCAGTACGTTCGAAATTTTGGTTAAAAATCTTGTTATTTGCATCAGCGATCGATTACTGTTTTTGCGCTTTTTTCAGGGAAAAACACATCAATTTGGAAATTCTTATAAAAAATCAAATAATTGTCGGATTTTAATGAAACTTTCAGGACATATTTACAAAAGAATGAAATTATTTTTGAAATATTTTTTTTTACATATGTTACCCCCCCATACACACACACTTACTTAATTTCATGAAATTTCAAAAAATCAAATTTTCACCCGAATTTTTTTTTATTAGTTAAAAGCAGGACGCCTTGGAAAATGTAAATCATCAATTCCTTTTTTCAAACAAATACTCATTTACCAAAAATCTGCTCCAAATCGTAAAATAAAAAATGCAATAAAACTATGTCATTATTTAATTAAAAAAGCTTTAAATTGCTTTTATAACTAAGGTTTATTAAGGACACTATTGTCTTAAGAAAAACATTTTTTGATGAATAATGAATTTTTACAAGAATTGTTTTCATTTTCTTTAAATTTTAATTATATTAATTTATTATATATATAAATTTATATAATTTATTATATATAAAACCTATAATTTATATTATTTATTATATATATATAAACCTATAATTTATATAATTTATTATATATATAAACCTATAATTTATATAATTTATTATATATAAACTTTTTAAAATTCTGCATTACTTTCATTCGGTCAGATGATATTGTTATTAAGTGAAAACTATATTTACCAATTAAAGATGGAAAAGTTTAATACAAATTATTTTGTACCAAGAGTTTTAAAATAATCTAAAAAAAATTTATGTATCAAAAATATGACGTAATGTGCCTGTTTTGAAAGCATGATCGACCATACATGACATTATCAGAAAATAAAAGCGATGACTATATTAAATTTAATGTCATCATTCCTAAAATTAGATTACGGAGAATATTTTCCAACATGTTTAAGATTACTGAGTAGTTAAAAATAATACAAAAAGGCGCGCATCTGTCATTTTTAAAAATTATGTTTTAACAGATAAAGTCTCCGTAGAACAACAATAACTCTTTCAACACCTTTATTTGCAATTGTTATGTGATTGACAAGCGATGACAAGCATGTAAGCGCCGCTACTATTTGTTTTAAAAAGCCATTTCTCTGTTATTTTAAACTTAAAGTAAATATTTTTTTAAAATCATAATAATTATACTTTAAATAAACTAATATTCCTCAAATAAAGTTTCAGAAAAGTATATTTTATTTTTGGGTGATTTTTAAAACCGAGAATTAACTTTACATATGTGTCAAAATAGCCGATTTTAATGATTTTATTGAAACCAACAAAAAAGATCCATTCTAATCATATAATTTCTATTTGAAATACACCAGCATATTCTGCTTACTGGAAATAGTAGATTTAATCATTTAGCTTTCAATTAAAACTAAAAAGAAATCTACAATAATGCTTTTTCATTTTTTAAAATTCATTTTAAACCTTAGGTATGGAAACTTAGTGGAGATACCTATTTCAAATTAAATCTGTTTTAATGAAAATTTGCGATGTTTGTGTGTGTGTGTATATATATAATTTTATATGTGCAGTACTTAGTGGAAAGTTTGTCTGATGATCTAAAATGCGTGAAACCCAGGGTCACAAACACATATCTATACAACTGTGTATATATAAATACCTACATATATATATATACACACCTATATATATATACATATAAACTCCTATATATATACACACATCTATATATATACTCAAATACAAACCAATATATATATACCTATACATATATACACATATACATACATATATATACACACATATACATACCTAAATATATATATATACACACATATACATACCTATATATACACACACATTTACATCCCTATATACATATATATACACAAATATATATGCCTATATATATATCTACACACATATACATACCTATATATATGTACACCCATACACATAACTATATGTATATATACACACACATACATACTATATGTATATATATACACACATATACATACCTATATATATATATATATACACATATATACATACCTATATGTATCTATACACACATATACATACTTATATGTATATATACACACATATACATACCTATATATATATATACACATACACATATATATATATATATATATATATATATATATATATATATATATATATATATAGATATATATATATATACACACATATAAATACCTATATATATACAAAGCTAGAACAGTCTACCCCAGTAAGCGAAATAAAGGGTTCAGTTTGACATTCCAACCTGAAGAAAACCGGAGCGCACAACGTTGTAATAAATATGGCGACAAGGACAATAGTCCGAATAATGTAAAATAATATGTATATATAAATATATATATATATATATATATATATATATATATATATAAATGTATATATACAAATATATATATATAAATATATATATATATATATATATATACAAATATATATATATACAAATATATATACAATATATATATATATACAAATATATATATATAAAATATGTATATATACAAATAAATATATGTATATATAAATATATATATATATATATAAAATAAATATGTATATATACAAATATGTATATATATAAATAAATATATATATATACAAATATATATATATATATAAATAAATAAATATATATATATATACATATATATATACACACAAATAAATAAATATATATATACATACATATATATATATACACAAATAAATATATATATATATATATGTATACAAATATACATAACTATATGTCTGACATGTCTAGCTCTTCACTTAATCTCCTCCCCTCTCCCCACAACACTGCTTTCCTCGGTTGTGTGAAAAACAGTGGCCCATAAAATCAGCCATCGATCATATAACAAATCACCTCCGTCTGGTGAAAGGAGACTTTGAACATCATCCTATCGAACGTTACCCTTTCATATGTCTTCTTAGGCCCGACATGGACTTGCACATCCTATTGCAGGTCGGGTATTCAAAACATGTCATTACGAAATTATCATATACAATAGACTGTTAGCACCGCGTGGCAATTCAGGGAACCCTTCCGAACCCTTCTCTTCAGTTCTGCATATTTTTGTGATGCCTCGTGTCAGATCTTGACGCCGTCAGCAACTAAAATCTCCCAGTTATCCAGATCAATATTGTACTTGTATAGTCACTCTTTAAATCTCTCTTTGTAAAGAAGTTTGGGCTTGTGCTGCGGTCTTTTTTCCATTTCCAATTCTCCATACATGATTTGTTTTGGAATTCTGTCATCCGCCATACGGTCAACATGGCCCGTCCATCGCAATCTGTGCTTGTGTATAAGTGCTTCCACAGAGTGTGAATTGGCCCTTTTGTAGAACAACAGTATCAGGGATGTGAGACATCCAGTGGATTTCAAGCACAAACCGAAGGCAGCGTTGGTGAAATCGTTCCAATATCTTCAGATGTCTGCAATAGACTACCCATATCTCACATGAATATAGCAGAGATGACATAACGCAGGCATTATATATTTTAATTTTTGGCTGCTTTTTTATGCCATTCTGATTCCAGACACGGACTTTCAGTGTTGCAAACGCATCGGAGGCCTGTAGTGGACCGTGTGGTGAAGATGTAAAGAACACACGTGGGTTAAAATTTCCTGCTAGTCGGTCCAGCTACATGAGAATGTTGGACTTTAATTAAGTCCAAAGAAGACGAAGAAAACAAACAAGACCGATAATTATATATAAACAAATATATGTATTAACAACAATTTACAAGCACATGAACAGTTACATTGAGTTTGTGTGAGGAATATTATGAGTGTGTATTGTGGTGAGTGTTCGTACGTACGTGTACTGGTATTGTTCTTTGCGTATTCCCAGAATTTGGGAAACGATGTATTGGTGAGAGCTCACATATTGGTATTAGCTGAAATGAAGAAAGAAGAGAAAGAAATACCTCACCTCCACGCAAGGTGGGATACGGCCCCAGGCCTGAGGAGAAAAAAGAGATCGAGGCAAATGGTCACCTAGTATTTATAGCAAGGGGAGAAAGACCCCTGGTGAAGGATTAAGGAACTAAGGAGGAGCTAACTCCGACAGGCCTTCTTAATCCGTAACACTATTTCATCGTCAAGAGAACAATGGCAGTTGGGGGTGCTACTAAGGTATACAAATTTGTCTACTACCCCAAGTTGACTACCATCAACATAATTCGTGGCTTTATATACTGAATTCCTCGGGCAGGTTGATACATCACACTTTCTTGTCAAATCTTCAAGAAGTTGGAGGTGGCTACACTTTCTTCATGAAGGAAAAGTGCACCGAGTAGGATAGAGTAGCTGGTGTGGGTTTTGCTGTACGTAGCACACGTGTGCCAAGGCTTGCTAAACTTCCTAGAGGAGTTAGTTTAATGACCCTTCGCCTACATCTCAATGGATCACGATACGCTACAAAGATTAGTGACTACTCACCAACAACGAACAGTAACGACATTTTAAAGGCTCGGTTCTACGAGAGGTAAATGATTTCAAAAGATGACAATATTGTCCTTCTTGGTGACTTCAACACCCAAGTTGGTGCGGATTCGGAGAAAATCAACACGAATGATATATATATATATATATATATATATATATATATATATATATATATATATATATATATATATATACAAATACATTATTTATCCTATTTATACACACACATGTATATAAACATATATATATATATATATATATATAAATAGATACACGTATACACACACACATATATATATATATATATATATATATATATATATATATATATATATATATATATATATATATATATATATATATATACATACATACAGGTAAAATAATCCGTGGGTAAGTAATCCTAGAAGTAGATCCAATTGATATAAAATATTAAAACTGATCCACAAAAGAGAGATCAATATAATTTGTATTATAGAGCATATAAGTGAATTGCGATCAATAAAACCCAAACAAATTACACACCTATATATATATATATATATATATAGTTGTGTGTGTGTGTGTAGATCGGGAGATATAAAGGTAGACATTTCTTATAGTTATATAGTTATTGTGGAAAAGCTGAAGATGTAGAAAAAGAAAAAATTCTAACCCCTTTCATTATATAAAAATAAATTCCCTCCATAAGGACATTACTCTTAAGTCTTATCAGAGGACAAAATACATTACATAGAATTTTTCCAATTTGTCATTCAACTACTTAACATTGTTCTGATATATTGAAATCATTGTATATCATATTCTCCCCAAATAGCCTTAAAAAACTGAAATTTATTTCATGTTTATTTTAAAATAACGAATCTGGAAAATGAATAAAATAATCGAAGCGTTACCGTCCTTAAATATCGATTTTCAGATGTCGTCTTTATGCGGCAAAAAAAAAAAAAAAAAAAAAAAAAAAATTAGTCGAATATATAAAAGTGGCAAGCTTTTTTTTTAATCGAATTTAACCCAATCAAGTCAGTAAAGGCCACTAAGACACAAGGGGTTACTTGGTGTAAAAGAATTAGAAAACAGAAAACATTCTGAAGGAGCGAGAAAAATAGATGAGTAATCAGGAAAAGAGTAGATAACGATTGACATTGCATTTAAATTTTTGAAGATCAAAGTTGTCCGGAAAGCATGGAGTCGGAAGAGTGAGAAGTGCGGGTAAAAGAAACTCTTAGCATAGAACTTACGGTTAGATCAAGTCAGTTCAACTGTAACTTGATAAGAACTTATTGCCAATCTAGTACTGGGCCTAAATTCATAAAGTCTAGGTACCATAGCGAAGAGCTCATCCGAACAACTACCATGAAAATATTTATAGGAAAAAAAAAAAAAAAACAAGGAGGCAACTTTACGGCGTCGAAATCTTTAGCAGATTCTGCAATGAAACCTCAAATCTTTTTTAATCTTTTTTCAGTCCTTTCTGACTACAATATAATGCATAAATGTAATCACTTGCCAAACCAAAGTCAATTAGTTCTATATGTTTATAGTTAGCATAGTACCCGTGAAAAATGACTGGATTGATCTAAGTATTGATCAGTACGTCTGCCTTGGATCAAACTATATATGAACTGTGTTTAAAATCAGCGTCGCTCCATAACCCTCCGCTTTGATCACACATGCATTGAATCTGCCATGAGCCATAATAGTTCATACTTTTTATGTACGAAATTTGTCCCATAATAGTTGTTTCAGTTGCATATGTATTTCATACACTAAATATACCGATTATTATGGGACAGATTGCTACCTCTGTTCCATAATAGTTTTTACGTATAAGGAAATAATATAAAATCCATCACGAAATGTTTGCTACGCTAGTAAATA